GGTCCCGTTTCAGACCGGTTTGCTAATTATCATCTAAATGAGGGTTAACAATGTTTCATCTAACTCGTATATCATTAGATACACATGATTCTGAGTGATGTTCTTTGTCTTTGCGCTGTGTTGTCTGTTTGTCCTTCGTGAAGCAGTGAGACCCGATATGACATTTTCCAATGGGCCGTTATTATGTTTTGTGTATGGTTTTTTTGTGCAAGGCAACGTGTCCTTCTATTCACAGTTTTCTTTTATTTTTTGGTTTTGATCGTGTATCTAGATAGGAGTGTAACTAGATTTTTTGTTTTCAGATTTGCTAAATCTAATCTAGATGAGTTTTAGCTCATCGACGTCTATAATTGTTTGATTTGTTTGCTTTAATGTTCGCACAAACTCGATCATGCACGCATCTATCAACTTATTCTGTTTTGTCGCGCGCCCTCTTGTCTCGTCTGTTTTGTGTCATCATGATCCCGCATTTGTTTTCACATGGGCCCACATATGTCATCATTTGGGGGTCTCGATCATGAAGCTTATCCCTCATCTTCTCACTGACCGACCTTTGACCCCTGTTATTTATTTTCCATCCTAGTTATAGGTCCATCCTTGACATGTGACTGGCATGTAGTTTGTTTCATTCTAGTTACAAGTCGACCATTAACTAGCAACTAGGATCATAGTTTCGTAGTTGTCCCAGGTGCAAGTCCATCCTCGACTCACTGCTGGAGCATGTGTATTTGTTTCTCATCCCAGTTGTAGGTCCACCATTGACATGCGACTAGGACTGTAGTTTGTTTCATCTTAGTTGCAAGTCAACCTTTGACTCGCAACTGGGCTCATAGTTTCCTAGTTATCCTAAATACAAGTCTACCCTTGACTCCTTGCTGGAGCATGTGTTTTTAATTTTCATCCAAGTTGCAGGTCCATCATTGACACACAATTGGGCGTGTAGTTTGTCTCATCCTAGTTGCAAGTAGACCCTAGACTCGCAACCGGGCTCATAGTTACGTAGTTGTCCCAGGTGCAAGTCCACCCTCGACTCACAACTGGCTTGTAGTTTCGTAGTTGTCCTAGATACAAGTCCACCCTCGACTCCTTACTGGAGCATGTGTTTTTATTTTTTATCCAAGTTGCAGGTCCACCATTGACACACAACTGGGCGTGTAGTTTGTCTCATCCTAGTTGCAAGTAGGCCCTTGACTCACAACTAGGCTCGTAGTTTCGTAGTTGTCCCAGGTGCAAGTCCACCCTCGACTAGCAACTGGGCACATAGTGGTCAGACTTGCAAGCCCACCCTCAACCCGCAACTATAGCATGTGTTTTTGTTTTTCATCCTAGCTGCAAGTCCAGCCTTGACTCGGAACTAGGCCCATAACTTGTTTATCCCAGTTGCAAGTCAACCCTTGATTTGCAACAAGCTCATAGTTTTGTAGTTGTCCCAAGTGCAAGCCCCCTCGACTCACAATTGGGCTTGTAGTTGTCCAAGTTGCAAGCCCGCTCTCTACTCACAAACTAGAGCATGTGTTTTGTTTTTCATACTAGTTGCAAGTCTACCTTTTGATTGCAACTAGCTCATAACTTGTTTTATCCCAATTGCAAGTCGACCCTTAACTCGCAATTGGGCTTGTAGTTTCATAGTTGTCCCAGTTGCAAGTCCACCCTTGACTCGCAACTAGGCTCGTAGTTGTCCCAGTTGCAGGTTCATCATTAACACGCAACTGGGCATGTAATTTGTCTCATCCTAGTTGCAAGTCGACCCTTGACTCGCTACTGGGATCATAGTTTCATAGTTGTCCCAGGTGCAAGTCGATCCTCGACTCGCCACAGGGCTCGTAGTTTTCACACTTGCAAGTCCACCCTCTAATCGCAACTAGGTTCATAGTTGTCCGAGTTGACAGTCAACCCTTGACTCGCAACTGGAGCCTATGTTTTTGTTTTTCATTATAATTGCAAGTCCACCCTTGACTCGCAATTGGGCTCGTGGTTTGTTTCAACCCAATTGCAATTTGACCCATTAATCGCAACTGGGCTCGTAGATTCATAGTTGTGCCAGTTGCAAGTCCGCCCTTGACTTGCAACTAGCTCGTAGTTGTCCCAGTTGCAATCCCACCATCAACTTGCAACTGAGCATGTGTTTTGTTTTTATCCCAGTTGCAAATCCACGCTCGACTCGCAACTGGGATTGTAGTCTGTCATTTGTCCCAGATGCAAGTCCACCCTTGATTCGCAAATAGTATCATAGTTTTGTGTAGTTGTCCCAGTTACAAGTCCACCCTTGACTTGCAACTAGGCCTATTCTTTGTTTCATCCCAGTTGCAAGTCCACCCTTGACTCGCGACTGGGCTTGTAGTTTTGTAATTGTCTCTGTTGCAGTTCCACTCCCGAATCGCAACTAGGCCGATAGTTTTGTTGTTGTCACTGTTGCAAATCCACCCTCCGACTCACAACTCGGTTGTTTGTTTTGTCATGCACCCTCGACTCGTAGATGGCATCATAGTATTGTGTAGTTGTCCCCGTTGCAAGTACGTCCTCAACTTGCAACTAGACCATAGTTTGTTTTCATCCTAGTTGCAAGTCCAGCCTCGACTCGCAACTTCAGCATGGTTTTGTTGTTGTCCCAGTTGCAAGTCCAGCCTTCGACTCGCAACTGGGCCGTTTGTTTTGTTCCCAAATGCAAGTACACCCTCGGCTCACAACTCGCATAGTAGTTTTGTGTAGTTCCCAATTGCAAGCCCGCCCTTGACTCGCAGCTAGGCCATTGTTTGTTTCATCCCAGTTGCAAGTACACCCTTGACTCGAAACTGGGGTTGCAGTTTTGTAGTTGTCCCAGTTGCAAGTCCACTCTCGACTCGCAACTCAGCCCATAGTTTTCTTGTTGTCCTTGTTTCTCCGGCTCATAGCTAGGCCTTTTGTTTTGCTAATTGCAGTGCACCCTCAACTCGTAACTGGCATCATAATTTTGTGTTGTTCCGGTTAAAGTCAATGCTCGACTCACAACTAGGCCATTGTTTGTTTGTATACCAGTTGCAAGTCCACCTCGACTCGCAACTTGGGCATGATTTTGTCGTTGTCCTAGTTGCAAGTCCAATCTCTGACCCGCAACTGGGCCATTTGTTTTTATCCTGGCCGCAAGTCCACCCTCAATTCACAACAGACATCGTAGCTTTGTGTAGTTGTCTCAGTTGCAAATCCACTCTTGACTTGCAACTAGGCATGTTGTTTGTTTCATCCCAATTGCAAGTCCGCCCTTGACTCGCAACTTGACTCGTAGTTTTCTAGTTATCTCAGTTGCAAGTCCACCCTCACTTCGCAATTGGGCCTATACTTTTGTTGTTGTCCCTGTTGCAAGTCCACCCTCTGACTCGCAACTGGGTCATTTGTTTTGCCAGTTGCAAGTGCACCCTGGACTTGCAGCTAGCATCGTAGTATTTGTGTAGTTATCCCGGTTGTAAGTCCATCCTCGACTCTCAACTACGACATAGTTTGTTTTCATCCCGGTTGCAAGTTCACCCTTGACTCGTAACTTGGGTCATGGTTTTGTTATTGTCCCAGTTACAAGTCCAATCTCTCACTCACAACTGGTTTGTTTGTATCCATCCCAGCTGCAAATTCACCCACGATTCACAATGGGCATCGTAGTTTCGTGTACTTGTTCCAGTTGTAAGTCCAACCTCGACTTGTAACTAGGCCCATTATTTTTTTCTCCTAGTTGCAAGTCCACTCTCGACTTGTAATAGGGACCATTGTTTGTTTCTTAAAATTCTTCTTGTTCTTTCTTCATTTCCTTACCTTTTTTATAATTTCTAAATCTGTTTCAAAATATGAATATTTCGGAAATTTGTGAACATAGTTTGTGAATCGGCGAACATTTTTTTAATCTGCGAATAAATTTTGAATATCGTGAATATTTTTCTACTTCGTGAACATTTATTGAGTGTACAATCAATTGTTCACTATGAGTTTTAAAATAATTTAGTGCATATTAGAAAAATGTTCACCATATATTAAAAAAGTTCATCGTATATTAAAAGAGGTTAAGTGTGTACTAAAAAATGTTAAGTGCATATTAAAGAAATGGTCATTGTGTATAATTAGCAAAATTCATCATATATAAAAAAGCTCGCTGTATATTAAAAATGTTCAATATATAGTACAAAAAGTTAGTGTATATTCAGAAGATGGTCATCGTATGTTAAAGGATTGTTCACCGTATATTAAAACAATTTTTTATTCATTAAAAAAATTCTAATTTGAAAGCATTTATGTAAATTCATGAATAATATTTTTTGTGAAAAAACGAAAAAAAGTGATAACGCAAAAAAACAACAACAAATCCTTGTTAGCCTATTAGAAGCTAGCGATCAGAGACGTACTTGTAAAAGTTTGCTACCGGACGCATAAGCTACATCGAGCACTGCATCATGTACATCGAGCAATGCATAGGCTACAGCCATCGCACATGCATTGTGCACAACTAGCTAGCTATTAGATACACATATGGTGGGACGTGCGGGGCGAGATGTTTTTTTTGGGGAGGCTTTGACAAACTAAATCAAACAAACAAGACAAACAATAAAATAATAAGATAATGCTGACACTATACTTAGATGTGAGATATTATCTCACATCTAGATGTAATATAGACGGACCCTTGTACTATATTGTATACAAGGCCAACAATGATGCATGGGAATGAAATCGTCTTTTTCTTTTTTGCATGGAAGAAAACGTCGTGTGCATAAGAACTAAACGGATGACACGCCGTTGATATGTACGAGTACACACGTGCATAATAAGAACCAAACAGTAGGTACGGCGTACCTAATGCGCGAGACATTCCAAGCACTCCCCGTACGCGCCCGTCGTCGGAGGTGCGCACTTTGCCGCCGGCCGTGTCCACCCGCGCCCTCTCGTCCGGCCGCTCCAGCTGCATCCACGCATCAATATCATATTTGTCCAGTCAGACGAGACCAAAGGAGAGAAATACGATACGCATGATACAATTATTCTCACCTTGTGGTCCTGGGAGAGTGGTAAGGCGTTGCCGGCGCGGCAGAGCACGGCGGGAGTCGCCGCAGTTGGCCACGAGGATGCTGCCGCGGACCAGGAACGCCACCACGGCAGTGGACCCCATGATGTGCAACCCCGATTCTGACAACCCCATCCCCAGTGTGTCCGCCCACTCGAAGCTGACGCTCCGCCTCTTCATCATTTTCCAGGTGCTCCTTCCGGTAGGCAGTTGCCACGCGGGCCAGCTCCTCCGCCAGTATGACGTGCATCTGGTCACTGCACAGGGCCGACACCTGCAGCACCATGTACCACGTAGCAAGCAAATCAAACGCCGACATCAAGCACTCAACCCGGAGGTGGCGTGCAAGGTGCTCCAGTCTGGCAGCATTTGGAGGAAAGGGGACGGGGGTTTACCTGTGGGCCGCCGTGGCCGTTGAAGACGGCGAAGAAGTGCATGGGGGAGCCGTCGGCCTGGACGCAGAAGAACGGGCGCAGCGACACGGTGTCCTCCATGCCCTTCCGCTGATCCAGTCCCCGCTGCGACACGGACCCGAACGCAAGGGACCACACTGCCGCCGCTGCCGCTTCACCTGGCAGTAGAGGCGCCGGCGCCGCCACCACGCGGGAGCTCTCCCCTTCCTCTGGGCCCGTGAGGTAGCCCTCAGACCCCTCCGAGGATGCGTAGTACCCAGACAAGAGAGGTGAGGGCTGGACCTCGCCTTCCTCCGATGCCACGACAGGGTTGGCTCTCGACACGCCAGCGGTGCTGGCCATAGCTACAGAGTACACTGATGGACGACGCGAAGGAGCAGTCCGGTTGAGCACAACGCGCGTGGGCTCCTGAAGCAGCAGAGGCTTCGCTACCAAGCGACCTGCGGGAAGAGGAGGAAGACGCTCCTGCAGCAGTTTTGTGTATAAAGAAACACACGGATTGAGCACACGTATCTTATCTATAAAGTAGCTAGTACCCATGTTAATTTTCTCATCTTATCCATTATTATCCTTATTAATTTCTCCTCTTTTCAATATTTCCTATTTTAATGTCACTTATTTTCTTTTTCCTGCATTTTAATGTTTCTTATCCATTTTAATGCTTCGCATTTAAATCCATTCTATGTTCCATTTATTTACAGAAATATACTGCTTATTATTGCAAGTACTAAAAAAACGGAGAGATATTAATTTTCCCCGAATTACACATTGCATTAGGTCATCCGTTTCTCCTTTAGAATATTTATTTCATTGGTTTTTATTTGCTATTTCAAGCCACTCCAACCACAAGCTCTTGCCACGCTCTCCTGGGAAAATTACAGATTGTTAAAGACAACTACCTAATGCACAATATCTTGCATATGATTTATGTCGCTAAGTGGAGTCTATATCGTCATTTATGTCTTCTTCCCAAAACTTCTACTCCAAAAAAAATAAGGAAATAATGTGTAATTAAAGCATCGCGATAAATAAGGAAATAAGCCGTAATCTCCACTCCTAATGTCCCAGTTGATAGGATTGCATGGTTATTTTTCGTCCCCCACTTTCGTCTGGGTTTTTTCGTCTCATCTCTCACCACACCAAAAAAAAACACGCCTAACAAAATCATACGATCCAACTCCCCCCTCGATCTTTTTCGTGGTTGTGGGAGGTGATCCTCCGTCGCCCCCCGCCTTCGTCCTTCATTCCTGCCCCTTCCTTGCCTCTCCTCTATCTTCT